ATAGAAAAAAAAAAAGACTGCAAGTGACGTCACTAGCGGAAGCGCAAGTGTCTGAGAGTGCAAGTCTGAGAAAAAAAATTTTAAAAAAAGAGTGCAAGTCTGAGAGTGCAAGTGCAAGTCTGCAGCCAGACCCTCTTGGGTCTTCCAGCCTGGTCATAGCTGGTTTGCAGACTGGTTTTGACCACTTCTTTAGCTGGTCAGGCTGGGAGACCAGCTACTTTTAGCTTAAACTAGCTAAAACCAGCCTAAGCTGGTTTGCTGGTCTTAGCTGGTTTAGGCTGGAAGTAGCTGGTTTTAGCTGGTCTCCCAGCCTTGTTAGCTATTTTAGCTAACCAGACTAGCCAACTAGCCCATCTAAAACTATCTAAAACTAAAGTAATCTTCCATCCAGGTCAAGCTGCTTGTTAGCTATTTTAGCTAACCAGACTAGCCAACTAGCCCATCTAAAACTATCTAAAACTAAAGTAATCTTCCATCCAGGTCAAGCTGCTTGTTAGCTATTTTAGCTAACCAGACTAGCCAACTAGCCCATCTAAAACTATCTAAAACTAAAGTAATCTTCCATCCAGGTCAAGCTGCTTGTTAGCTATTTTAGCTAACCAGACTAGCCAACTAAACCCATCTAAAACTATCAAAACAGACCATCCTGGCCATCTTAAACACATTAAACAGTTTTTCCTTTTACTTTTCAGTGGGATTCATATTTAGTCTTGACTTTTTAGTTGCGCTAATGCTAACAGAGTGCTTTGAAAGATAGTAAACTCTTTTACATTAGCCTTTTTCTCCTCTTATCTGTTAAGAAATATGTAACAATACATAATCATTATCCATTATTTCTCTCATGACTGACTACTTTAAAGGAAAACAGCATGTATGGCAGTTTTGTTGAGGTGTTTTTTTGCTGACTTCTTTGGTGGGTAATCACTGCTGTTAGATGTATCACTTAGATCAAAGCTAATAATTTAGCTGACAATCTGACAAACTGAATTTTAAAATTGTGCTCCACATGACACTGAAGGCGTACAAATGCACATACAGTACACACACACTGTGAATTTGTTTCAACTTCCAACCACCTCACCTGGGTATCTGTGCATGAAAGACAATCACTGCAGCTTCAGTATCATATATCAGACTTAGACTCAGTGGTCTGTCTTTCTAACTACAGAATTGCCACAAATTAATCAGTTAATAGAATGTTCTCCTCCCACGTATCTTAATAACACACCTAGTTAATCAGAATGGTGACTTACAGGTTCAAAAACGATAGGGATAAGATAAGGATTCTTTATTTTTCTTGGCTTTTTGCAAAGATGAAGTACAGTTCCCATGACGGTCGGTTTCATTTTCTAGCGATCTATCAATGCCTTAAATTATCCAGCCGTAGTATAAAGTCCCAGTTAGAATAGCACACATTAGATTTATCATTAAGCTGAAGGTTAAAATCTAGTATGAGTGTGATGAGACCAAAAGTATGAGCCCTTGATAAATAAAAAAAAATAAACCCATTTAATCTGTCACAGCGAGCTTCACGCTGCTGGTGTCCTGGGCGACTCTCAGCCTTTTGTGTGGGATTGTTTGGGGATGTGTGTATGTGTATGAGTTTGTGTATCAGGGTTGTTTTCTCAGAGGAGGCAGTGCTTCTAAAAAATGAGAAGAGAAATTATTCTACAGTAAAAAACAAAAGTAAAACAAAAAAAATATTGTGAAATAGTTGATGAAAATGTATAAACCGCTTTCTAAGGTAAGAGCAACATCAGCAGATAAAGGTTCAGAGGAAGGCAGCATCTCTATTCCTAAAGTGTTTCTTTTTCTGTTCTCATTCTGGACAATTCATATCCAATCTGACCATTCAAAACCTGATTTTAATGGAATTTCAAAGTTCATGTAAATGTTGATTGGATCAGGGGCTGAATTCATGACAATCAAATGAAAAACAAGGAAAGTTCTTAAGACCTGAGTTTAGCACTCAGCATTGCTTTCCTCTTATTATTATATTTCAGTATATTAGTATCTTTTATCTTTTAGCATATTACCATCTTAATTATCTTTTCTCAGGATGTGGCATTCTGTTGTATTTATTTGCACTCTTTCTAGAGTGAAATGCGCCTTGACTTTTAAGTAGACATTTACAAAGATTGTTATGATATAATATTTTGTCTTAACATTATTAAGAAAACAAAGATTACTGAGAAGTATGCATTTTTTAAAAGGGATAGTTCACCCAAAAATGAAAATTCCAAACCCACAAGACCGTTCATCTTTGGAACCCATAGTAAGATATTCTGACACGGAAGAGAAGAAATTGTTGAATAAAGTTATTATTTTTGTTTTCTTTGTGCATAAAAAGTGTTCTGGTAGCTTCATAAAATTAAGGTTGAACCACGGATGTCACATCGACTATTTTAACAATGTCCTTCTACCTTTCTGGGCCTTAAACGCGATAGTTGCGTTGCTGTCTATGGAGGATCAGAAAGCTCTTGGATTTCATCAAAAATATCTTAATTTGTGTTCTGAAGATAAACAAAGGTCTTACAGGTTTGAAACGACATAAGGGTAAGCAATTAATGACTGAATTCTAATTTTTGGGTGAACTAACCCTTTAAAGTAAGAAAATAAGAAGTTAAGTAGTTAAGAAGAATTTTATTCATAATAAGATTAATCGGATTTCAGGTTTTTTGCTCTTTACACTCCCAAAAACTTTGTTTTCAGTTAAATACACCAAAACATCAGCCATCCGTCTGAACAAAGAAATTAATTTTTAAGTGGATGTAAGAATCAGTTCCTAGCAGAGGAACTACAGTACAGATGTCAAATGTGTTCATCCCATTTAAACAGTATTATCTATTGTTATTTAATTGAAAACCTAACAAACATTTTTTTTTTTGTTAAATGTAATTTGCTTGTAAAGCTGTTTTTTGTTAAATGTCACTTCGTTTTGTATTTTGTTATCTATTGCAATGACATTCAAACATTTTTCAGCATGGCTTAAGAGTCCAAATACTTGGGGCCACTGTCTGTGTTTTGCTAAGCGCTTGTATGTTATTTCAGGATCTGAGCTGATGCCCAAGGCTTTGTCCACCAGAATCGTGGGAGGGATTTGGTGGTTCTTCACTTTAATCATCATATCTTCCTACACGGCCAACCTGGCTGCTTTCCTCACAGTAGAGAGAATGGACTCCCCAATCGATTCAGCTGACGATTTAGCCAAGCAGACTAGAATTGAATATGGAGCAGTGAGAGATGGCTCCACAATGACTTTCTTTAAGGTAACATCTTACAAGCAGGATCGATGCACCCCAACACACTGTTCACATGAAAGCTATTGAAATACAGAAGGAACTGTCAGACACAATCCAAACACTCAGCAAATTATCAATTTTACAAGAGGCCGCCTGCACAGGAGCTGGAGCTTTTAGGAGTAAGTTTATTGAATTTCTGCTAGGAAGTAAAATAAGAAGATCAATCTTGTGCATCTAATAAAATGGATGCAGAGTCACACACAGATGAGTTTTGAGTTGTGTTAACCAAAAAACATAATTTCCAATAAATGTCCCCTCATACTGAAAGGGGAATTCTACTAATAAATTATGATCGATAATTGTGCTGGTAATTTTGCACACGCTGTCTGTGATGTTTTAGTGGCAGACTCACTAAAGAAATTATATCAGGTAGCAATGCAAACACAGATCAAAATTTGTGCTAAACACAATTTGCTGATAATTGTTCGCAGTCTCACGATAACCGATAATAAAATTGTATAGTATTTTGTCCAAAAATGTGTATATATTGTGTATGTATTAGCACTACTATTCAATAGGCAGCATTTATTTGAACAAATACTGTGAAAACTATTCAATTTTAATACATTTTAAAATGTATTCGAATCCTGTGATTTTAAAGCTGACTTTTCACATGATCCTTTAGAAATCATTCTAATATGCTGATTTGCTGCTCAACAAAACATTTATTATGATCAATGTTGGACACCGTTATACTGCTTAATATTTTTGTGGAAACTGTGGTCCATGTTTTTCAGGATTCTTTGATTAACAAAGTAAAAAAAAATATTTGAGATATAAATCTTTTGTAACATTAAATGTCTTTACTGTCACTTTGATAAATGTAATGTATCCTTTCAGAATAATAGTATTTTTTATTTTTTTAAATAAAAAAATATTTTAAAAAGCACCCAAACTTTTTATATAAATATACTGTATATAAATAAATAAATAAAAATATATATATTTTTATATTTATTTGTCCAAATGTGTTGTTTACCTCACATGCAAATATAACTAATTGCATAATAAACTGTTATTAAATGATTAGTGTTTTTACAAATAATTTAGATGACAGCAGATGTAATCTAAAAGTAAAAACGGGAAATTAGCTTGTACAGTTGAATATAATATATTAAATATAATCATATAATATCCAGGATATATATTGAATGCAGGTTTTTGCACTTAAATATTATGTGCAACAATATAACCGATAAATGAATCTTTCAGTCACGTGAAATTCATTTATTCAAAGGTGACAAAGGTCTGATTCTTTTAATTTTCTAGGAAGCCATCACAGAGTCCTTGCTAATATCTCAGGCGTACACGTTCACAAATCCGCCTGAAATCCTCCTGAACTCTATTTACCTCCACCAATCCGGCCATCTAAAATTCCAGTAATTCCAATAATCCAGTGATCTATCTTATGAGCGTGAGCCACACATATGCACCGTTCATCATTTAGAGAGAGAGAAAGACAAACAAGTGACACAGATAAAGCACAGAAGTGTGTACAGAGGCCGGTGTGAGCTTTATCCACCGAGATTATAGGCTATGATTACATCTGCGTATATCTAGAAAAATACAGGCCTGTGGAGGACTGAGACAAATCGAATCAGCTGTGAGAGATTTAGCGCACAGCTGTGCCATTTCCCCCGGCTGTCCGCTGACACACTCACACAAAATTTTACAACTTGTCCCCTTTTGACTCAGCCTAATGAGAGATCAGGGAGAATTTATCAGACTTGAAAAGCCCATACCAGTAGCTGATGAAAGAACAAGATCCGAAGACAAGAACTTGAAAGAATGAAAAGAAATATCGATCCAGGCGGCGTGACTCATGTCTTTAATGTTGTGCTTTTTGAAGACAGAATCAGCTCTTTGAAACTCTTTATTTGCTTTTAGAAATCAAAAATCTCAACGTACGAGAAGATGTGGGCATTCATGAGCAGCAGGAAGAACACAGCCCTGGTGAAGAACAACAAGGAAGGGATTACCAGAGTCCTGACCACCGACTATGCCCTCCTCATGGAGTCCACCAGCATAGAGTACATCACGCAGAGAAACTGCAACCTCACCCAGGTTGGAGGCCTGATCGACTCTAAGGGCTATGGAGTTGGCACACCAATAGGTAGTGGTGCCCCACATATTGCCTGACAAACTGTTGAGCCCCCTAACTGTACCCTTACTAGCCTTAAAGGTGGGGTAAGCAATTTTTCAAAAACGCTTTAGAAAACTGATTCGGGCCGACTAGCAAAACAAACTTTTAGCCAATCAGCAGTAAGGGTCGTGTCTACTCATGATGTGGAGGAGAGCGCATTCAGTGCACAGGACGGACATTAGCGAGCTGAGCAACAGAAAGATAGAGATGGCGGATAAAAAACAAAAGAGGAAAACGTCTGCGGAACAAAAGAAGGCTTAAGGCAAGTAAGACCCGTGTAAATATCGGATCAGCTTTCCAGCGCTGGAGAGAACAGACGCCGAGGTTGCTTTGTTTCTTCTCGATAGATGAGTAACACCGTATCTGCACCGCAACAGCTAAAGTCTGTCTAGTACACTGGATGCGACAAAGCGACCGTTAAAAATCATTTGAAATTTGTGTCAATACGTCATGAATAGAACGCAGCAGCAGTTTACTGTCGGGTATTTGTCATGTCGCGCCTCGCCGGATCCAGTGTAGACCATAGATATGTATATCTATGGTGTAGACAGCATTACTGATTATTATGAGTTTTATAGTATTTTGTCGTGCCACACTGCTCGCGTCCGGTGTAGACACGGTGTAACATTGGTTTTGCTTTGTTTCACAGAACTAATCGTTGCCTGGGTTGCGTACGTATGTGTGGGGCGGAGCTATCAAAATAGGGGCAAGACCCTTTTGGGGTAGGGGCGTGTTTGTTTTGGTGATTTCAAATGTCAACATTGGCTACCAGAAATCGCTTACCCCACCTTTAAGGTACACGGGGCAATATTTTTGAGCAATGTTGCTTCGGCACTTTTTCATTGAGAATGGAAATTAGAAATAGAAATTTCTATCTGGATACTTTAGATCAGTCGTGGGCCCTGTGTCTCACCTGGTTGCCCAGCAAAACTGCTCAAAAACTTGCCCCGTATATCATAGGCTTAAGGCAAGAAATGTGGCGACTTTTTTATGTGCTTTTGGGAATTTATTATAGAAGGAAACACACTACACAACCCAACTACTGAGTTCCCATTGAATTTGATATGCTTTGCTTTTGTTTTGTCCTACTTATTGGCTGAATTCCATCAGCACAGAATGGAATGCAAGTAGAATGCAGGATATCTCAGAAATTTGTCTCCAACTTCCGACTTGATGCTCCTTGATGAAATTTAGACATTTATATTTAAAGAAACGAAACGAATACTGTTTAAATAAAAAGTAGAGCTTATATTTGCTTTGTAGGTGTGCAATTATCAACAGAAAATGTACACACCTGTCTCTGGAAAACGTTTTCTAAACAGGTTTCATTATGAAGTACTTTGGGACTTTTTATAATGCAATGTAATTTTCATAAAACGAGTAAATTGTGGGGAAATATTACTAATTAATTATATATTTAGTTTTTGCATTTCCATGCATTTTGAAACATGTAGATTGTATTATATTAGTTTTATGTTATATGTATACTCTAACAATATGGAAAAACAATGCCTGATGAAAGTTGCCTGACCAAAATGTTGGATTACGTTGGATAATATCGCTAAATTAAAATAAATCTAAAATTAAAAAAATACTGATATTTTGTCCATCCCTACTTTAAATTATTGAAGTTCAGTGTGACTTCTGTGTTGTTGTTTTTTTGCGCGACCAAAAGAACTATGTTTTTTTTGCAGGCTCACCCTACCGGGACAAGGTGACCATCGCCATCCTGCAGCTCCAGGAAGAGGGAAAGCTGCACATGATGAAGGAGAAATGGTGGCGAGGTAACGGATGCCCCGAGGAGGACAACAAAGAGGCCAGTGCCCTGGGTGTGGAGAACATCGGAGGCATCTTCATCGTGCTGGCCGCTGGTCTAGTGCTGTCTGTGTTCATGGCCATTGGAGAGTTCATCTACAAGTCACGCAAAAACAGCGATATTGAAGAGGTGAGTGGAAGGCTGGCGGAATGGCCCTGCAGGGTCTGAGTCTTACAGGAGCTAATTACCTCACCGCTGTCAAGCCGAAATGAGCCATGTAAACACAAATGAGACACTTGCGGGATGTTTTTGCAGCAGCCCACTGGACAGGAACCTGTTGCAGACTTAAAGCACATGCTGTTTATCTTGCAGGTGTTCTACTTCTACATTTCTGAAACTATTTTGGTTAGCTTGCTTGTTTTGTATGACATTCATAGCAAAAAAGAGAGTCAAAAAATTACTGTAGTCCACTATCACGCTCTTGCAAGTTTTATTACCTGATCTGGATGACAAAGTGCTGCTTTCAGCACAGTTTGGCAATTAAAGCAGTGTGATGTGAAGTGTAAAATTTAATGTGTTGATGCACAACAGTCATTAAATATGTCTGTAATGCATTTACTGAATTTGACATTTGAATTGTTTCGTTTGATCTATAGATCAAATCCAGATGGCATGTTTAACAAAAGTAAAGTCATTTACACTCTTTGAATAGCAGAATTTAGTTTTTAAAATTCAAAGTATGAAATATAATTTCTTTAATAAGAAGGCCATCAGACACTTATGGTAAATTTATAATATAGGTAAAGATTGGGGAAAGATTATTTACTAATTATTGCAGGTTAAATTGCATTGACAATAATAAAATATAAGAAATGTCTACGTAAAATATAAATTATATATCATTTACTTAAATGTTTTATCAAATATATAAATATATTTCTATGTAAAATATAAAAAAGTTATGTAACTATTTAAAAAGATTAAGTTGCATTGACTTGAATATATATGTATAATAGGGCTGTCAAAAAATGCAAAAACGTTGCATTCTAATTTTAGGTGTGCATCAGGCAGCCTTATCAGTGGCGCAGGAGATGCGATGACGATGTAGGTGTCATTGCATTTTAATGTTTTTGTTAGCCTATCCAGTTGAAGCCACTAGATGCGGCACTGCTGCATTGTTAATTACAAATATTGCGGGAAAAGAGAACATCAATGCGGAGAAGATGCTGTTTACGTCAACTGAAACCAAGCAGTTCACACAGAACACATATTTCGCGCATTTTCTAGAGGGACATCTATCACCTTTGCACTCGCGTCTCGCACAAAAGAGCCGCATGTTTAGAAAGCCATGTAAAATTAATGCAAGTTCAACTTTGAAAAAACATATCTTGAGACTTTATGGCGGGGGGTTTTCCCCATCCCACTGCATGTCATGTTTTTAAATGAAAAGTGTACTCTATTTGATTGGCTTTCGGCCCTTTGTATTAAACTATGCATTCATACATGATGCTGTTTTGTTTATAGTTGTTTAAGCAACTTAATTAATTATAATTGGTTTATAAACATTATTTTAAACATTATGCACTTTTTTTCACAGATAGTCATGTTATCTTATGCTTTGAAGAAAGTGCATTAGTAATATTTTGCTCGATATGCCCTCTTGTGGCCTCAAGAGAGAATCCAAAAGCTTTTCTTCACCCTAACTGAAATTATGCATTTTAAATTTTAATATAATTTGAATTTTGATAATATTTAAGTACAAAATTCGAATTTAGTTTTTCAGCCATTTTGACAGCCCTAATGTATAATATGTATAATTATTATATACTGTATATGCACATTCTACTTAAAATACAAAAAATAACTTAAAATTTATTACAAATTATTAACAGCCCTTGTCTAGTCTAGCCCTCAGTTGCCCGAGGGTATTTATTTGAGTATCAACAGTTAGTATCGTACCAAAGACAAAGTTTTGGTACTGATTCAACGCTACACTCTAAAAAATGCTGGGTTGTTTCAACCCAACTTTGGGTCAAATATGGACTAACCCAACCGTTGGGTTAAATTTTTACATTAAATTTTTAACCCAAAAGTTGGGTTAGTCCATATTTGACCCAAAGTGGGGTTGAAACAACCCAGCATTTTTTAGAGTGTACATAATGTACGTTAACTGATATATTTAGCATCATTTTTTAATTTATTTTTTGCATGTGAATGCTGCTTATATTTTATCAGTTTGATCATTTGCATGTTACTGATCTTGTCCTGCTTTTTGTCTTTCTGTTCTGTTTTTTATCTGTTACGATCTGCATGCACAAGGACTTCTGTTTCTTTTACGGAGTCCAATCCCGGCAGCTGCAAAGAAGCGATTTCATCTCCTCCTCTGGCACGTCCTTATCAACAGATTTAGAGAGCGGGCGGCTCCTCAGGGATGACATATGTTCTTCGTGTTAGCCACACACTCTCATATCTGTAAGGGCTGTGCGTTATTTAAAGAAATATAAACTCCTTTCCCTCCTTCGCCCATCCACTGGTTACTTCCAAACCATCTGCCCAAACCCTTGACCTCAATCCAGCGCCCATGCGGCTCAGAAATTTAGTACGGTTTTCAAGGAGATGAAGAACACTTTCATTTCTCGTTGCACACCCTGTCTGCAGACAGATAAGAAATTGAGTACTCTCTGAAACTTTTATTTACTGGTAGAAGCTATTCAAGTACGGCCATTCGCAGCAAAAATTTAAGTGCGGACCTACTAGATTTGATGGCCTAAATTCTGCCTTTCATGTTCTCATTGCTCCCTCAAAAGATCGGCCCGCACAGTGAAGGTAATGATAATTATAATGAGGGTTATGATAATGATCTGTTCTGCTGTAGCCCACTGATTCTTGAGCAGAGAGGTAAAACAGACTACAAAACAGAAAAAAGTTTGTCTAAAGGATTTATTTTAGATAAATCTGTGACGTTCTATTGTCCATACAAAATATGTGCTTTTCCTTGCCATTTACTCAAGATTGGTCAAGACTGTCAGATATTTAAGGAATATTTATTATAATCTTTGACAAATCTTGGATTCACTTTAATAAATTAGAATACAGGATGTTTTAAATCGATCAATCACAAATTCAATTAATTGTTAATTGTTTACATAATATGTGTGTGTACTGTGTATATTTATGTGTATATATAAATACACACACACATACATGTATATATTTAATAAATATATGTAACATATATTTATATTTATGTGTAATATAAATCATACCCAGTATACACATATATTATGTAAGCAAACTTTTATTTTGGATCCAATTAATCACGATTAATTGAATTGACAGCACTATATTAATTATATTTTTAACAGCTATATTAAAATTATTAATAATGTTTTTAGGAGATTGGGTTTATTGTCAATTTTGATAATGAAATAGTAATGTTAATGAAAAGACACATACAGGAACCAACGTCAGGTAAAACTGTAGTAAATGTTTTTTTTTTCCAATCAGTGAACTCCACTCATTCACTTCTTCTTTGTTCAAACACCTGACACTGAGCGTACAGTCATGAAACACTGATATCATTCTCTGGAATGTAATTAACTTTAGCTGTATTTGGCAGAGAAAAGACATCAAGAGAAGAGTCTTCATAATGACTTGATTAAATATTGATGCCCTCAAAAAGAAAGAACAATTAAAAAGTCTAAGATTACCGGGTCTGAAATTAGCCCACAGGATAACCGTATTCAGCCAGGAGCGAATTCACCGCTCACAGCGGCTTTGTCTGCCTCCCACGTCCCCAGCGGCATAAAGAAGTGGCTTTCATGCCTTGAACATCTCATGGCGGACCAGACCAAAACCAGTAGAATCACTCTGAAACACAGAAATCTGCGTTATCAAAATAGAAAATGGGCTATACAGTAAGTCAAATCTATAGTGCGTCCTTGCAATATAAACCAAATCTTTCTTCTGAAGAGATTTAGGGTGGTTGTTGAAGTCAATCGCATGAGAGTTTCAGAGCATTAAAGTCACCATGTACTCCCAACCCTGTTCTCCACATCATTTCATGCTTTTTCTACACTAGCCATTTAACTAAAAGTGGCCTAGAAATAGTCAAAAACAAACCGATGGAGTGCAGCTAAAAATCCAAGCAAGTATTTTCCTGTTTGTTTGTTTTTTTATATATCATATCACACAAGTGTTTTGCTGTGCAGTGACACTATAAGCATCACATTCATTTGAATAACCAAACTAGACGCTGTTTGTATGTTTGAAGTGTGTATATGTACTGTAAGTGTGTCTGTCTGCATGTGTGTGTGTGTGTGTAGAGACTCACGCAAGCCCTCGTGTTCTTTTTTGACAGTGTGTCTCTTTCAGTGCTGTGATGGAAGACCTGGGCATATCCCTCAGGTGCCACAAGGCGTTGAGGAAGAGAGGCAGACACAGAGGAAGAGCCGGCCTGTCTGGAGTCTTATGTAACCCCAAACGCATCCAGAGGAAAGAAACAATGGCCTAGATCCACCTCCAACCGCCACGCGAGCAAGGAGCAGCTCAGCTTTTGACGTACCTGCCGGTGAAATCAATCTCTGAGGCCATTTGTTTTTTCAATCAATTGTTTATGTGCTTTTTATTCATAAATTTGCAGGTTTGTATATCAGTATTATGTGGGTTGTGTTGGTCTTGTGTTAAGTACACAGGTAATATCTGAACTGAAAATGAAAGAAATAATTTATTTTGAGATATTTATTGAAGTACAAGCACACTGCATTATACGGTAGCATTTTCTTGTGCTGTCCTTGATTTAATAAATAAAAGTGTACTTTTTTTACACACCCTTGGGCATTTATCTTGTTCCAGCCGTTCTTTTATCAGTGACGCGGGTTATATTAATTGCAGCATTATATAACAACAGAAAATAATAGAGAAGATGCTTCTAATCCGTGACTGTTCCAAAGGGAATGTAAGACATGACTGTTTCTCCATTACTTTTTTCCCATTTTGACCCTAACAATTCAAGACGTTCTGCCTGCTGCACACAAAGCGCATGCCTCGAGGGACTGACCGAAGTATTCTCCTTCAAACTGAGGCACAATCAAAAAAAGTTCAAAGGTCAGCCTCTGCTTCAAGTGCTACCTGCTCCATGACCCAGACAAATTACTCTGAAGATTAAACGCCTTTTCGCCAAAAATACATCAGATGTGTCTTAATGCATATCAGAAAAGATAAGACGTTACGAGATGAGGGCGATCGTCTTGATTAGATTTTTGTGCTCCAGATGAATTTGCTCAAAGTGTGTCTATATATATATATATATATATATATATATACAGTGGGTACGGTGAGGAAAAAAAATTAACAAATGATTTTAGCAAATGGCTGCAATATAACAAAGAGTGAAAAATTTAAGGGGTTCTGAATACTTTCCGTACCCACTGTATATAGACAACTGGACATGCTGGTGTCCCTGTTATACATATATAGGTCAGCTGTGTCTGGACCAGAAAGACAATGCATTTTCTGGCTCAGTTTTGGCCTCTGGGAAATTTAGACATGAAAGATATTTTGTGAGTTTGTGCACATGTGAGGGGAAGCTCGTGGGCTACTGGCAAATGTATAGAAATTATAGTGCTTCAGAGAGACTTCTTATTCACACTTAAGAAGATATGGACTGCTCGGGGCTGTTTTGGCCTGGCAGTCGGTTTCAAAGCCCTCAGACTTCACTGAACACATGTGACGGCCATTGAAAACGACTTTCATAGAGTCCTTGCTTTAAAAGCAGGAGCTATTATCATGTAGAAGTGGGGTTCAAATGCTTATTTTATTTTTTATTTCAGAAATTCAGTATTTGGTTTGTAACAATGTCACAAACTTACTGATTAGTGGCCTAAAAATAGTCTATCCATCCGTCTGTCTGTCTATATCTGTCTGTCATTCTCTATCTATCTATCTATCTATCTGTCTGTCTGTCATTCTCTATCTATCTGTCTGTCTGTCATTCTGTCATTGTCTGAGACTTCTATAACCCACTGTATGTTAATGTTATGTAAATGTTTTCCTCCTCCCAAAAAATTATTATGTGTCTACATAAAGAGAATCACCTTAACCTCATAAATAATTAGTTTGAATCTCGATTTAGATCAAGTATATGATATCAGTACAGCGTAACAACGCCTCAGTCATAGCTGAGGGTCAGATCGATGTCCCCTGATAACAAATGCGATCAGCTTTAGTAAACAAACCTTGCAGATCTGATCTGTTCGTGTGCTACTAAGTGCCTCTGTGATGATTAATAGCAACATCACATGAGAACAGAGACTATCTGCCGTCAGAGTACAGTGTCACTTTCACACTAATGACAGATCATTCTTCTGCTTTGTTTTTATGCTAATGCATGCCATTCGGGACAAAAAAAACTTTAAGCCTTTTTTTCTGTGATGTGAAGCCTGCATTTGGAAGTGTATAATCTGACAAACACCTTGATTCATTTTGAAAGCTTTCGTTTGATAGAGAGAAGGAAATTGCTCTTCTGTTTCACATTCACCTGTTACTTCACAGACAGGTCTGCTCTGACTCTGTCTGCTGAACAGCTTGGTAGGACCTATGGGACAGTGCATGTCAAAGCAAACACACTGAACATGTTTTTTTCAATCGGTTAGAGAGAGAGACATAAAGAGAAAAAGACATCAGGTTGTTCCCCAGTGTCATACATAAACTATGCAGGCTGAACTTCAGTTCAAAGTCAGTGTGTTTTCCAGATAATGGTGCGAATTCACTAAATCAGGCCTGAGAATAATCAACTTTCAATGAGTAATTCACTCAAAAATATTAATTCTGTCATGATTTACTCACCCTCATGCCGTTTCAAACCTGTATGACTTTAATTACACCATCTACTGGACTGGAGGGTGAAGTGCTGACTGACATACAGGAAAGCAATGGCAGCTCCTATGATTTTACTGTTCAGCTAATTAAATATCGAGTTGTTTTGAACCAAAATCAATTGGAGCTAAAGACAGTCATGATGTACTGCCATTTAATTGAATTCACCCAACCGGATATTCATTAAATTTCTCTTTCTCCAGAATGGGTTTAGAACGACATTAGTTTGAATGGGTAAATGGTTCAATTATTTTATTTTATTTTATATACTTTTTATTTAATTATTGTATATAGTTAATATACTGTTTGTGTGTGTGTGTGTGTGTGTGTGTGTGTGTGAACTATTCCTAGTTACTGCATGCTTTCTTAATTTTGATTTCATGTTGAATTTATCCAGACTAGACCAACTAACCAACAAAAAAAACAAACTAGACCAGCATGGAAATCAGTTGAAATCATCCCCTACAACAATTCACAGAGGAAGTGCATTTAATTAACTAATTTAAAGGTATACACTTGCTGTCCATTACACCAGATGCATGCAGCATGCTGGGTTATTTTATCTCTGCATGAGATGTCTGTTCAGGCCTTTCTGGCGCACTGTCCCTGTTACCCAGAACTCAGCGCACACATAAACCATTTGGCCTGATAAAGCCATCCTGTCTATGGGGGTGGGACAAAGATTTTGAATGAGGGGTGCAGGTGCACAGTTTCTGTAATGCTCTCAGGAGAACCCTCAAACGCACATTAAGCCATAGGTGATGACATGTGCACTATTAGAGCTAATGACTGTCCTCTTATGCCAAATAACAGTCACCTTTGTCTGAGAGGCAAGCCTGTGCACTGATTAGACAGCGGTGTCATTAGTGAGGTCTTTGTATTATGGGACATCAAAGATTCACACTGTGTAGCTGAGGGACAGGTAGTTTAGAAACAAATAGACATCTTACTCTTGTTCTATTGGCTTGGAATTAGGTGAATCCGAATGTGACTAATTTGCTATTAACTATATAGCTACCCAAAACTGAAATGTTTTGTTCTTTTTGATTATAATTTAGCGTAGGCCTACTTACACTCATGCTATTCTAAACCTGGGTGAGAATAAAGAACGGAACAATTCCGGTTTCGATTCTGTAGTTAATGCTTCCATTTTAAATAGCCTACGCCATACATACAATCTAGCTTGTTCGATTCATCGATATTCATGATGAATTTCTCACAACATTTCTCAGTAGCGTGGTGGTAGCGTTGCTGTTTTCTGAATCGAATAGCTTTTCAGTAGCGAAGCTCGTTTTTTGATCAAGTAGCGCGGTAGCGTCAACAACAACTACATTTTTCAAAGCATTTCTGAAGCTCAAGCTCAAATCGGAAATATAATTGCCAGTGATCCTGGATCAGTGAGTGACGCCACTAAACCTCGTAACTCCATTGGCTGCTCAAACTTTCAATCAAACCTCATTATTCCTCCGCCTCTCTCGTGAATGAAGTGCGGCGCGCAGTTTTATCAATAGTATCTCAGTTTCATGAAGATATTTTTGGTGAGCGTCTGTGACAGCGGAATTTGTAGTTGTAGAGAATAGCCACACATGTGTACAAGTAAATTTGAAGTCACAGACAAAAGTTGTAAACGTGTAGATTTTTTTCTCTCTCCCACAAACACAATAGTTGCACCTTCTCGAATCCTTTATTGCACGTGCACAAATCCTATTTTACGAATCACAAATCAAGAAACGCATACGCTCACATGTTTTGCTACTATTGCTGCAGTGAAACACATTCACACACCTGCATCAAAAAACATGAAGTCATGGATGAATTTTGTACATCCGCAAATCAGTATGTGAATTCTTGCAATGAGAGTTGCACGCTTTTAGAATGTTTTCTTGCATATATTTTTTTCTTGGATGCTTTTTCTAGCACAAACACAAGTACATAACTACAAAGGCTTCAATCTGCTGCTACGAGTCTCGAGCACTGTTTGCTTGCAATTTAATGACAAGTTTCGCGCACTCCCTTTTGCACCATATCTGAGAAATATGGAGCAAAGGTGATCTGTGCATCGATCTATGGAGGCAACGGCGGGCACTGTTCAGAGATTTGCGGATGTACAAAATTCGTCCGTGACTATATACATATTCGCTGCAGCAGTAGTAGCAAAACATGTGAGTGTACGAGTTTCTTGATTTGTGATTCGTAGAATAGGATTTGTGCTCCTGCGGTGAAGGATTATCTAAAACAGGCTTCTTTTTGTAGAATTATTTATAGTGATACTCCAATCAGGATTTATGGGGTGAATTCCCCCAGTGTTGCCAACTAATTTTCAGGGGAAATAGCGAAAGGAAGGTCGATTTGTTGCTAAAAAGTTGCTAAGTGATGTTGTAATGTCATTATGCGATGATGTCATCACGTAATCACGATGCAAAATTGTGTCACTTCTTTAAATCTCAGCAAAAAATATATTTTCTATATGTTAATTTAGAGTTGTTCGTAAAATAATATAAATGCATAATATAATATTCAAATGCAAATAACTGTATTGAATTATTGAACACTTAAATATTTTTAAACAATTTAAGTTTTTTTATTAGCTAGTAAACTACTATCAATTCTGAACAATTG